TCCCTGTCCCGCACAGCCCGGCCTCTGATCTCGGACCCCAGACCCTGCCGCGTGCGCGGCCGCAGCGGGAGCTATTTCAGCCCATGCAGGGAGCCTGGCTTAAGCACCAGGCAACGCTGCCCTGCGCTATTCCGGGAAAGCCTGGAAGCGGAGGGTATAATCTGCAGGGGAACAACTGCATCCCTCCAATTCCTCCCCTCCGGCGCCTGTCCCTCTGCCACGCTGTGTTTCGGGAAGTCCATGGGCCCCCGTGACACCCGTTATTTTGGTGTGGGACCTTCCAGCCTCAGCGCCCACAGTCCCACTCCAAATGGGCCCTTTGGAGCCACTTTGGGCTCCCCCAGCCCCAGTCCCACCTGCTCCGACCCCCATGGGCACCAGAGCGGTGGCAGCTCCTTGTCCGGCTACAAAGGTGCCCGCGTGACCTCGCTGGCCCCTCTCACCGCGATGCCACCTGCTCCACTGGTGGCAGCCACCAGGGACAGGGCTCGGTGCAGGAGCAGAGCCCTGCGGCTGCTCGTGCTCCGGAGCCCGACCCCGGCTTGGCTGGAGCTGCTCCAGCTTCAGCATTCCGCAGGGAAGCCCGGCCCAGCTCGCGCCGGGGCGGCTCCGGGCTCCTTCGAGCAGCCGGCACCGACCCAGGCGCAGCCGTTTGCGGCTCCTTGGGCATCTTGGGCTGCTTGTCACCACGCTGGGAATGTGACTGGGTGAGATGCAGTGGGAACCCGTCCTGCCCTGCCAGCCTCGTGCCACAGGATACCCATGACCTGCTGCCAGCCTGGAATTGCTGTGACGCTTCACGAAGGGACCCTGGGCTGTGGCGCAGAGCCTCTTACCATGGCATCAGGCGGCCAATGCGGGTCCAGGAGGTTTTGCTGATGAAGAAGCCCACCATGGGGTCCGTGACGGCGTCCCATGCTCGCCCCACAAACAGGATGATGGAGGCATAGAAAGGGTCCAGCTGCAAGAGGCAGAACCCGCGTTAGGGCCGGTGAAACCACCGCGATTCCTGGGCTGAGCACCAGGAGCTCCACACCAGTGGGGAGGCCACAGCTGCTCCCCTTTGGGAGCAGGGACAGGGCCCTTGGCCTCTCCTGCTCCTTCAGGGGCACCCGGGGGACATGGATGCAATTCCTCTGGCTGCTACAAGGTTGCCTTCCGCCCCACGGTGACTTTTTTTCCTGGAAAACTCGTGTTTGGAGCAAATTTCTCTGAAATACCCCATACAGCCAACAGGGCCACTCACACTGACCCATGAGCTCTGCCAGGATTAGTGGCATGGATCCTGCCATCCCAGGGGATGGACAGCAATGATCCTATTTTATATCCTGGGAAAACCAAGGCACCGAGCGACCACATGACTTTGCACGAGGCCACGGAGTGAAAGCGGCCGTGCTGGGAGCAGCGGGGGGGACGTGGCCGCCAGGAGCCCAGACCTCACATCAAAGCCGCATGGAGACGTGACTCCAGCGTGACCAAAGCCTCTCCATTTCCCGTGGGGAAGCGGCTCCGGGGAAAACCTCACAATTCCCGGGAGCGCCGCAGGGTGCATCGGCCGCGGCAAAGCCG